CAGGTCTCCCAGGTGGGCCCGGCTTGGACGGGAGCCAGCGGTCAGCAGGGCTCCTAGTGGGCGAGAGCATGGCTGGCTGTGTCCTGACTCACTTCCCACACACCGGCGGGGTCAGGGTGGGGATGCTGCCGTGAGCTGAGGTGGGACTGACCCTTCGGTGGCCTTCCTTATGCATGGGGGGTGGGCTGAGGCGGCCGTCGGTCACCAGCCGCTTCCTTTCCAGGTGGTGAACAGGCTGGGCCTGGACTCCTTGTCCCCCTTCAATCCTAAGGAGCGGATCATCGAGTGAGCAGCCCCCCAGTCCCTCCGTGTGCCCCCATCCTGCTGACCCAGCCTCCATCCTTCCAGAGCCTTCTGCTTGATCACTTATTCATCAGCAGACACCAGGGTGCCTGTGGCAGGAACAGGCTTGGGGCTGCTTGGGGAGTGCAGTGAGGCCCCAATAAGGTTCTGCTCTGTCCTCAGGGGGGCTCCGGGGTGGTCACAGCTCCTCCCAGGCTGTGGCTGCTCTGCAAACTGGGGCTGTATCCCCCTTTCTCCTGTTGTGAGGCTGGGTGAGGGGGGCGGGCTGGAGTCTGGGACCGTGGTCGGAGCCAGACCTTCCTTCCCAGTCTGTAACTATGACCCAGGACGCCATCCCTGTCCCTCTGGGTCCCGCAGATACCTGGTCCCCGACAGCGGGCCCGAGCAGAGCTTGGTGGACAAGTCCCTGCGTGCCTTTGTCCGGGAGGTGGGCGCCCGCTCAGCGACCCCAGGGGGCGGCTCCGTGGCAGCAGCCAGCGCAGCCATGGTGAGCTGGGGCAGGAGCAGGGACTGGGGTGGGGACAGGGGCGGTGGGGGCTGTGGACAAGGACGGGGTGGTGACAGGGGTCCCAGTCCCTCAGCTGGTCCCTCCGCAGGGAGCCTCGCTGGCCTGCATGGCTGGCCTGATGACTTACGGGCGGCGCCAGTTCGAGCACCTGGACGCGACCATGCGGCGCCTGATCCCGCCCTTCCACGCGGCCTCTGCCCGGCTGACAGCGCTGGTGGACGCGGACGCCCAAGCCTTCACCGCCTGCCTGGTGAGTGCCCAGAGGGGCCAGCATGGGGTCCGTGGAAAGTGGGGATCCGCAGGAGAAAAAGCTGGGTGCCCTTGACTGCGCCCAGAAATCCTGCCACGGCCATGCCCACAGTCGAGGGGTGCACGAACAAGGGGGGGTCCTGCCTGTGTAGCCATCAAAGGAGCAAGAGCACATTGTGGGGTGCGACAGACCCAGCGTGACCATCCAGAGCACAGGTGCCTTCGGGGAGGCGGGGGCACAGTTTGAACCGTTATGTCTAGATCTGGGGGGTCGTGCTGTTGCCTGTGTCACTTTTGAACAATGACTACGGGCCAGGTGCTATCGGAGGGGTGGGGCGCAGAGACCTAACGGGACCCCTCTAGTGCCTGAGGGCGCTGCCAGCCCTTCCTCTCCAGCCCCTTAGTGCCCACTGTGGGGTCCCTGAGCCAGGCCGCCTTCCCCTGTGGGGGCCCAACACCATGAACCCCAACGGAAGCACTCTTCCCAAAGTGACCCCGTGCTATGTGGAAATGCCGACCCCAGTGGTGACATGGGCGCTGCTACGAGGCTGCCCCTGCCCAGCCCAGGCTCCCGAGTGGCCCGGGCATGGCTGCCCCTCACCCGTGCGTTTCTGTGCTTTGTTCCGGCAGGAAGCGATGAAGCTGCCTAGGAGCACCCCCGAGGAGAAGGACAGGTGGGGGACCGTGACCCGCGTGGGGCAGGAGACTTGAAAGGGTCTCATTTCCAATTAATCTACCCTCTGAGCATGTGCTGGTGACGAAAGAGTGACTTTCCCGTTGTCCCCACCCTGGTTCTGTCTGCTTGCGGCTGTCGGGGCGGGGCCCCGGGTGGGGTTCCTGCGTGACCTGGGCTTCGATGACCCCTTGGTTTCAGGCGAGCAGCCGCCCTGCAGAAGGGGCTGAGACAGGCGGTGACCGTGCCCTTGGAGCTGGCGGAGACGGTGGCCTCGCTGTGGCCGGCGCTGCGCGAGCTGGCCCTGTGTGTGAACTTGGCCTGCCGGTCGGACCTGCAGGTACGTGGTGGAGCCTGGCCGCCCGCTGTTGGGGTTACAGCCATGCGGAGGGTGGTGGGTCACTGGGCGATCGCAGCCGTTCATGGTGTTTGCTAAACACCATGGCCTGGTCGTGAGCACGTCCCAGGTGGTCTTGGCCGGCCTCAGCCAGCAGGGCTGGTGTGTTGATTTCCTTTGAAGATGGAGAATTCAGGATCTTGTTCAGGGTTGCAGGCAGATAAGCAGAAACTCAAGTGAGTCTCCGGAGTCCACACCTGACCCTCCTACGCCTCCTCCTCCTCCTCCTCCTCCTCCTCTTCCTCCTCCTGGTCTCCCCCTCTCCCTCCTCCTGGCCTCCTGGCTCTAGAAACACTGAAGACAGCTCACAGGTGTGCACACATCACGAGCTGTGTGTGGAGGGCTCGGGTCTGTGATTTCTGCCTCTTGAATTCAGACCCCACAGTTTACAGGGTCTTTATAAGAGAGACACCTGAGCTCAGTGTCTGGGCTTGAGGCTGCAGAGAAGGGTCCCCTCCTTCCCTGGGAAGGCGGCCGAGTCTGAGCTGTCAAGAACGGAAGCTGCCTGGACACATGGGCTGTGGAGCCTACCGTTCCCGTGCTCCCTTCGTGCTTCGGCATCTCCTTGTCCAGTGGGACCCGGGGGCATCTAACATGTTGGGACTCGTTGTTAAGAGCCCCACCTATACCAGCTCCATCCAGGCCTGGGCACACGCAGTGTTTGGTGCGTGTGAGGTCAGGGAGGACCGAGGCCTGTGATGTGGGCCTGGCCTGCTGGACGCGTTCAAGGTCATCTGAGGGGGAGCCTCTGCACACTGGATGGTGTGGGGTCCCGGAGCCCCAGGGAGGACCATGCTCCTACCACA